CTTTCTTTCTTTCTTTCTTTCTTTCTTTCTTTCTTTCTTTCTTTCTTAAAAGAGATTTATTTATTTATTTGAGAGAGAGAGAAAGCACAAGTGGGAGGGGCAGAGAGAGAGGGAGAGAGAATCCCAAGCAGACTCCATGCTGAGTGCAGAGCTGGATGTGGGGCTTGATCCCATAACCCATGAGATCACAACCGGAGCCGAAACCAAGAGCAGGATACTCAATGGACTGAGCCATCCAGGCGCCACCTGATGGGTATTTAAGTTTTATAACTTGGTTTCCTTCTTTCTTGAATAGGAACAAGTCTATCAAATGTAAAGGGTTGTAGTAAGGATAGCAACATAAACAACAATAATGACAGTTACTGTTATTACAGGTCAAAGGATTAGCACTCCTAGAGGAAGAAATCTCTGCTATGGAGACAAGTACCCTCTCTGACAAAGGAATTTAAAAGGGTCTGGAGACAAGGGCTATTGCTTACCACAGGGTTGTACTCTGTCACCAAGTGGAGGCTGTTTATCTCAATGAAACGGCTTAATTTGGAGGCATCAATCCTTTCAATGTCCTTGCTCTCTAAATCCAGTTTTTCGTTATCCACCTGGGTAACACAAAAAGGATAAAATTGTCACTGTTCTGTTTTTATTTATTCATTGGTAAATGTTTCTGGACTATCTACCACATGTCAGGCACTGACTAAAGCTCAAAGGACTTAAAGGTAAATAGGAAATATTCTCTGCTTTCAAAGAACACTGTCCTGTGGGATACAAAAAAGGGAACAGAAATGTCATCACAGGGGCATCATAGGCCCGTATGTCACCTAAAGGAAGAGCAGAAATCTTCCAGGACGAAGCAACTCTTAAAAAGTAGCTAAAACTAGGTCAGGTGAATGAGGGTGGGGAGGGAGTTGTAAACTAAAAAACAGTATTTGCAAAAGGCAAAAAGATGTGAGATGCCATGTTCTGCAAGCTGCAGTTAGTTTGCTATGACTATAACAGTAGAGGTTAAGTGTGAGTAGGAGAGAGACAAGGTTAGTGGCGTAGGCTGGGGGAAACTTCCAAATGGCCTTGAAGCCGAGGCAAATAGATTAAAGTCTAACCTGAAGGCAAGAGGATCCATTTGCATAATCAGATTTATGTATGTATGTATGTACCCTTTTAACGGGAAATAATACGCACATATAGAGAAAAGCATGAAATGGAAAATGTAAAACTCAGTTTTTAAAAATTATTACAGGGCAAACAACAGTGGAACCACCATTTGGGTAAAGACATAGAATATTGCCAGAACCCCGGAGGCCCTCTGTCTTCCCTTCTAAGCCATAATCTACTTTTTTTTTTTTTTTTTTGCCAAAGGTGACCATTTCCTGACTTTTATGGTGACCATTTTCAATCCTTCCTTTATAGCTTTGCCACTTAAGGATGCGTCTTTTGATCCTGTGGTTCAGTTTTCTTTCTTAAAACTTTATATAAGTGGAAACAAACAGTGTATTTTTGGTATGCATATCTCATTTTGTTTAGGAGTCATCTGTGTTCCTGCACGCAGCTGAGGTTTTTCAGTTTCTTTGCTATATAATGTTCCACTGTATAAATATGCAACATGTATTTATTCACTTACTACTGATGGATATTTAGGCTGTTTCCTGTTTCTGATTATTAAAATAATACTTCAGTGAACACTCTTGTTCATGGTAACTCTCTGTTGACCATATACCTTGGATTGGGATTTTTGATTAGAGAGCATTTGTGTTTTCAACTAACAAAAATGCCAAGCTATTTTCTAAAGTAGATAATAATTTATGCTTGCACCTATATTGTTTGAAAGCCCCCGTTGCTCCACATCCTTGCCAACACTTCCTATTAATCAGCCTTTCTAATTGTATTCATTTTGGTGAATATGGGGTGGTGTCTTACTGTGTGTTTTTTTTCAAGATTTTATTTATTTATTTGAGAGAGAGCGTGAGTGGGGGAAAGGGGCAGAGGCAGAGGGAGAAGCAGACTCCTGGCTGAGCAGGCAGCCCAACTTGACCCTCGATCGCAGGACCCTTGAGATCATGACCGGAGCCAAAGGTAGACGCTTTACTGACTGAGCCACCCAGGCGCCCCTTATTGTGGTTTACATTGCATTTCCCTGAATAACCACCTTTATGTCCTCTTCATTTGCCTATTTTTCTATTGTATTGAGTGTCTATCTTTTTCTTGCCGGTTTGAAGGTATTTTTTATATATTCTATATATCGGTCCTTTATTGCTTCTATGTTGCATTATCTTCCCTCACTGGGACCTTCCCTTTTCTTAGTTATTGCTCATAAACAGAAGGTGATTTCAATGTAGTTGAGGTTATCAATCATTTCCCTTATAGCTGGTGTGTGTTTTTGCTTTGTCTTATTTAAAAATCTTTGACTACCCAAGGTCATGAAGATATTCTCTTATATTATCTCCTAGAAACATTACTATTTTATCTTTCACAATAAATTGGAAATCTACCTGGAACTCATTATTTTTCTCACTTTAAAATGGATGCTTAGATCTTGATTTTTATCCTTTTCTAAAATATACACATTTCCCCCTTACAGGGCTATAAATGCATCCATAAATTTTATGTGTAGATTTTTTATCATTCGGCCCAAAATGTTTTCCAATTTCTGTTCTTATTTCTTCTCTAACCTATTGGCTATTTAGAAGTGTGTTTCTTAATTTAATCTTGTTATTAATTTCTAGCTTAATTTCTACATTTTATTTATATCATTTGTCAACTTCTAGATATGTTATATGTGTCCTTAAAATTATGTATATTCTGTAGTTTTCAAATACAGTGTTCTGTATATACTAACAGCTCACTTGGTTAATTTCATAGTTCGAATTTTCTATATTCTTATTGATTTATTTAACCAGTTTATTTTATCAAGAGAGTAGTACTAAAAATCTCCCACCGTGATTGTGAATTTAACCATTTTTTTCTTACAATTCTGTCAGTTTCTGCTTACATGTTCTCAGGCCATTTATTAGATGAATGCAAATTTAGAATTGTTACATCTTCTGGCCAAACTGAAATATGTATCATTATAAAGCATCATTCTTTATCTCTTGTTGCCTAAAAGACTACTTTGTCTTACATCAATATGCTTAATATCAGCTTTCTTTTGGAAGTATTTGCATGGTATAGCTCTATCCTTCTATTTCTTTTTCTTTAGGTAAGAATTCCTTTTTTAAAAACATTTTTATTTAAATTTTAGTTAATATACAGTGCAATATTGGTTTCAGGAGTAGAATTCAGTGATTCATCAATTACATACAATATCCGGGGCTCATCACAATTGCCCTCCTTAATACCCATCACCCATTTAGCCCATCTCCCACCTCCCTCCCTCCATCAACCCTGTTTGTTCTCTATCATTAAAAGGCTCTTATGGTTTGTTTCTCTCTTCTCTCTCTCTCTCTTTTTTTCCCTTCGCCCCTTCCCATATGTTCATCTGTTTTGTTTCTTAAATTCCCCATATGAGTGTAATCATATGGTTTGTCTTTCTCTGACTGGCTTACTTCGCTTAGCTTAATACACTCTAGCTCCATCCATGTCATTGCAAATGGCAAGATCTCATTCTTTTTGTTTTACTTATTGATTTTACTTATTGATTTGTCAGAGGGAGAGAGAGAGAGAGAACATACAAGCAGGGGGAGCGGCAGGCAGAGGGAGAAGCAGGCTTCCCGCTGAGCAAGGAGCTCGGTTCGGGACTCAATCCCAGGACCCTGGGATCATGACCTGTGCTGAAGGCAGACGCTTAACCGACTGAGCCACCCAGGCATCCTAAGATTTCATTCTTTTTGATAGCTGAGTAATATTCCATCGTATATATACACCACTTCTTCTTTACCCAGTCATCAGTCCATGGACATTGGGGGTCTCTCCATAGTTTGGCTATTGTTGATAACGCTGCTATAAACATCAGGGTGCATGTGCCCCTCCAAGTCTGTAGTTTTGCATCTTTTGGTTAAATACCTATTAGCACAATTGCTGGATCATAGGGTTTATCCCTTTTTTTTAACCTATCTTTATATTTTACATGTGTCCCTGTGTTTTAAAATGATCAGGAAACAAACTGAGGGTTGCTGGAGTGGTGGGGGTGGTGGGAGGGATGGGGTGGCTGGGTGATAGACATTGGGGAGGGTATGTGCTATGGCAAGTGCTGTGAATTGTGTAAGACTGCTGAATCACAGATCTGTACCTCTGAAGCAAATAATACATTATATGTTAAAAAAAAAGAGAGAGAGAGAGAGAAAGAAGATAGTAGGAAGGGAAAGATGAAGGGGGGAAGTCAGAGGGGGAGACGAACCATGAGAGACTGTGGACTCTGAGAAACAAACTGAGGGTTCTAGAGGAGAGGGGGGTGGGGGGATGGGTTAGCCTGGTGATGGGTATTAAAGAGGGCACGTACTGCATGGAGCATTGGGTGTTATACGCAAACAATGAATCATGGAACACTACATCAAGAACTAATGATGTAATGTATGGTGATTGACATAACATAATAAAATAAAATTCAAAAAAATGATATGTCTTTTGTAAAAAGCACAGAGTTGTATTTTTTAATCCAGTCTGCTCTGTCTTTTGATTGCATTATTTTATATAATGTAACCACAAATACATTTAATCCCATATGCATTTCCTATTGGTTCTGCCTGTTCCAAATATCCACTTTCTTTCATTTCTGGACTATGAGTTGATTGAGCACTTTATATTATTCTTTCTTTCCCTTGATTGGCTTAGAAGTCACATGTGCTATAGTCATTCTCTTGAGGAGTACCAGCACGCATTATACAACATGCATTCTTTAGTCATCCGAACCTAATTTTAACTGTCAATTTTGTCTCTTCTTGGACTATGCAGACATTCGAACATTCTAGTAGTTTTCCTCCTTCTGACTCCATTCCCTTGCCCCACAGTGAAGACTTACAGGTGATTATTATTGTGTATTTTAATTCTAAATCTCACAAAGTGTTATTATTATTGTCATATAGTCAATATACATTTACACTTCTGCACATTCTCATATTTTAGTTTCTTTTTGTTCCTTCCTACACTTTTGAGCTTCCGTCTGGGATGTTTTGCCTTCTGCCTAGAGAACAACTTTTAGTGTAAGATCTCTTGAGTGCCATGCTTAAAATATTGTCATTTCCACTTTATTTTTGAAGGCTATTTTTGTTGGAGGTAGAATTCTAAGTTGACAGTTATTTTCTTTCAGTTTTTGCAAGATATAATTCTTCATATGTGGTATTCTTTCTCCTGAGAAGTCATCTGTGAAACTTAGTATTACCCCTTTGAGATTACTTTGAGGGTAATCTCTTTCCTCTGATTTAAAATTTTTCTTTTTCTCTGAGTTTCAGCTATTATACTATGGCATGGCTAAGGGTAGATTATATATATGATACATATATATAATTATGTATGTGTAGAGGTATATGTGTGTCTGCATGTATCCATTGGTATACATAATTTATATATTCATATATGACCATCTTAATCCAATTTCAGTGATTAAGATGATTCAAATGTGTTGCAGCCCTTGGGAGAGCTGATCTACGTATGGTACATCCTTGTTCTTAGG